AGACACAGGGCTAGGAGTTGTAACCAAGATGCGTGCTTCTAGGTGGCACTTGAAGGAGATGGAATGCCTTGACTCTTCTGCTCTATGCTAAAGGTTAGGTTTTGAGTAGAAACAAGGTAACCATCCAAGCTGGAATATAGCCAGTGAATTTATAACCAGCATCAGCCATTAAAGTATTAAGGCTAGGACTCAAGAGCACACCTAATTGGGGTAGAAAAGTGTTTTCTCCTGGGTTCAAAACTGGCATTGAGAATTATTGGTGCTGTCCTCCTCTTCCCCAGGCAATGGTTCTGGTGAGGCTGGGCACAGCTGACCACTCTTTGACTTGTCAGGGACAGATCAGGAAAGGTACCTTAAAGAAGGTGTTCTGTTCTGCTGCTCTCCATCAGGAATCTGCAGTTCTCTCTCAGAGCAGCTGCTGCTCTTGCAGTATGGATGGGCTCCTGATAGCTTGAAAGCTGGTTGCTGCGTTGGTTTTGTTTAGGAAGCAACCTGCCCTCTGCACCCTCATTATGGCTTGATTAGAGTTCACTCCCTCACACCTCCTGTAAGCTGCCTCTAAGTAAAATTAGCTGTTTTGGCTGTGACAGCAGTGTCTACTTGTGAATACTTGCACTTAGATTTTTATCCACCTTAACAGTAGAAATGACCCAGCTTGAAGTTACTTGCAGAATCTCGTGAACTTTGTGCCATACTCACATTGCCTCCAATCCTACATGCTATTGAAGATCTCCAGATGATTTAACTGCTTTTGAGAACCAATCTCTCATGGAACTAGGGCTCCAAACTGAGGCTAACTCAAAGTGCTGCTCCATCCTGGGCTGAGCTTTTGTTCATCAGCGCTTTGCTGCAGCTGGGAGGTTGACAATAACCAAGTGACAGCGCTTCAGTGTAGGGTTCTCATTTCTCTTGACGAGGTATATTGGCTTTTATGGGTGCAAGCTTTCTTTTTCCTTAATCTTTTGTTGTTAAGTTGTTGGGATGTAGAGCTGTATGGAGCAATGAGTTATCACTCAGGCTCCCTGAGGGAATGAAAGGAAAGCTCTTGGTATTTCATCAGTTTAAATGACTTCTACAATTTATTTTCTGAAGAATATAAAGTGCTTTTTATAGATAAACAAAGTTTTAGATGCCTGGTTTTGTCAGCGTAAATCGCACCTGCCAACTCTGCTAACGTGGTGGGTTTAAATCCGCTATAGTAGCTAAATCAACTAATGGGGAGCACTTTCATCTACTCTGTAGTGTGTCAAGAGCATTATTTTGGTTTCTGCTTATTGAACAGCGCTGCTCAAGCCTTATATAATGCTTTTCCTGAGAGGAGGAAGCACTTCCGTCAGGTAACAAGGCTATGGAAAGGGGATACTATCTCTCAGTGTCTTCCATGTCCTTGGCTGCTAGGACCTGGATATGTTTTTTAAGTTAGAGCTGTGTTTGTCCAGGCTGTAAGAGTCAGAGGGGATCAACCCTTCCTGCACAGCTGTTGACCCGTCAAAGAAGAAAAGTTTTGGGGGTTTTGTGGGTTTTTAAGGACAAAAGTACTGGATCATCAGTGTGAGTAGCAGGACCAAGCTTCTGCCCAGGTTTGCTGGGCTGTGCTGTTGCTTGCTGTGTCTCTCCCCCTGAAATCCGTCCTGCTTCTGCCTTATGGTTGTCTTTTAAGTTGCAGTCTTCCTCGCTGTGAACTGTACATGCATTTGGAGAAGGCTGGCTGTTCTTCCTCACAGCAATATTGTTCCTTTGTAACCTGTACAAAATGCTCTTTGTGTGCTATTTTCACTAGTACATATTTTTCTAATTAGGTTTTTGGCTTGCACTGCCTCAGACCACAATCCTGGATGTTGCTTGAAGCTCTGCTTAATATCTTATTGCAACATTTCCAGTCTTGAACGTATCTTCATAAATTGACTCTGTCAAGGTTCTTTCTCTTCCAAAGCTATCAGCCTGCATCCCCAGCCTGACAGTTTCAAATCTCTCTTCTTTAACTAACTCCTGTTGGGCAGGATGAGAGTTGTAACTGAGCCTCCTTCTCTACCCCACACCACCAGGTCCGTTGCACCCATACTTCCTTCCACATGTGGTTGGCCTCTAGTGAAGCCCTTCACTGGAAGGGATGGAAAAACACCCCTACAAGTGCCTGTTGCCTGCTAGAGCTCAGGCATGCTCCTCTGAGGCAGGGTTTGTGCTTTTAGAAGGCATCAGTGCACATATGTCATGTGCCTCCTCTACTGTAGGCAAGAGGAAGCCATTAGCTTTGCAAAAGAATCTTAGTAGAGGAGGCTGAGCGTGCCGGGGAGGACTGCTTCAGGTGAAGCAGAGGAAACTTCAGACTGATACTGGGACCTGCTCTAGCCCTTGGCTGCTCTAACCAAGCTCTTCCATAAGCCTTCCACTCAAGATCTGGTTAAGGCAAAGGAAACTTTCCTAATCCTGGACCTCTATTAGCAGGAATCCCTAAAAAGTTACATTAGCAGAGTCAAGGTCTCTGATTATTATGGTTTTCATTCAACATGGTGAAACACATGTGGTGTGTTCACATAGCATTGATCTGCTGCATTTGATGTGTTTAATTGCTGTTACTCATTGCCCATCAGCTCTCATTCAAGTCACGTTTTCTACCAGAGTGTTTAGAACAGAATTTTACTCAGCTCAGTTATGGTACTGCAGCTGCCTTGTCAGATGCTCAAGAGGCTGAAACCTTCCACCAGCTTCAGGGAACTAAGGGTCCTAGTACTATAAAGAAAAGGTCAAAAGCTGCTCTTAAACCTGTGTTTGGTGTGATAGTCCAGAGCTTGGTCAGTTGCCACACAGGGATGGTATTAATCTGCAGCTGTCTTGGTAGAATGCTCCTGCACACTAAATCCTGTGCACACCACCACCTCAATACCAATCAAAGCCAGGTTAGATGTGGCTTTTGGCAACCTCATAGAATCACAGAATAGTTGGGGTTGGAAAGGACCTTAAGATCATCTAGTTCCAACCCCCCTGCCATGGGCAGGGACACCTCACACTAAACCATATCACCCAAGGCCTCGTCCAAACTGGTCTTGAACACTGCCAGGGATGGAGCATTCACAACCTCCCTGGGCAACCCATTCCACTGCCTCACCACCCTAACAGGAAAGAATTTCCTCCTTACAGCCAATCTAAACTTCCCCTGTTTAAGTTTAAACCCGTTACCCCTTGTCCTATCACTACAGTCCCTAATGAAGAGTCCCTCCCCAGCATCCCTATAGGCCCCCTTCAGGTACTGGAAGGCTGCTATGAGGTCTCCACGCAGCCTTCTCTTCTCCAGCCTGTCTTCATACAGGAGGTGCTCCAGTCCCCTGATCATCCTCGTGGCCCTTCTCTGGACTTGTTCCAACAGTTCCATGTCCTTTTTATGTTGAGGACACCAGAACTGCACACAATACTCCAGGTGAGGTCTCACAAGAGCAGAGTAAATGGGCAGGATCACCTCCTTTGACCTGCTGGTCACACTCCTTTTGATGCATCCCAGGATACGGTTGGCTTTCTGGGCTGTGAGCGCACACTGAAGCCGCCTCATGTTCATTTTCTCATCAACCAACACCCCCAAGTCCTTCTCCACAGGGCTGCTCTGAATCTCTTCTCTGCCCAACCTGTAGCTGTGCCTGGGATTGCTCCGACCCAGGTGTAGGACCTTGCACTTGGCATGGTTAAACTTCATGAGGTTGGCATCAGCCCACCTCACAAGCGTGTCAAGGTCCCTCTGGATGGCATTCCTTCCCTCCAGCGTATCAACCGAACCACACAGTTTGGTGTCATCGGCAAACTTGCTGAGGGCACACTCAATCCCACTGTCCATGTCACCGACAAAGATGTTGAACAAGACCGGTCCCAACACCGATCCCTGAGGGACACCACTCGTTACTGGTCTCCAGCTGGACATTGAGCCATTGACCACAACTCTTTGTGTGCGGCCATCCATCCAGTTCTTTATCCACTGAGTGGTCCATCCATCAAATTGATGTCTCTCCAATTTAGAGACAAGGATGTCGTGTGGGACAGTGTCAAATGCTTTGCCCAAGTCCAGGTAGATGACATCAACTGCCCTTCCCCTGTCCATCAGTTCTGTAGCCCCATCATAGAAGGCCACCAAATTGGTCTGTCAGGATTTCCCCTTAGTGAAGCCATGCTGGCTGTCACCAAGCACCTTGTTGTTTTTCATGTGCCTTAGCATGCCTTCCAGGAGAATCTGCTCCAAGATTTTGCCAGGCACAGAGGTGAGGCTGACTGGTGTGTAGTTCCCCGGGTCATCCATTTTCCCCTTCTTGAAAATGGGGTTTATATTTCCCTTTTTCCACCCATCGGGAACTTCACCTGACTGCCATGATTTCTCAAATATGATGGCCAGCGGCTTCGCAACTTCATTTTCCAGCTCCTTCAGGACCTGTGGATGGATTTCATCAGCACCCATGGACTTGCGCATGTTCAGATTTTTAAGATGGTCTCGAACCAGATCCTCTCCTGCAGTGGGTGCAAGGTCTTCATTCTCACAGTCCCTGCGTCTGCCTTCCAAGACTTGGGTGGTTTGGTCAGAGCCTTTGCCAGTGAAGACTGAGGCAAAGAAGTCATTCAGAACCCCAGCCTTCTCCAAATCCTGTGTAGCCAGTTCTCCTGAGAGCTTCCTGAGGGGGCCTGCGTTCTCCCTAGTCTGTTTTTTATTTGCTATGTACCTGTAGAATCCCTTCCTGTTATCCTTAATACCCCTAGCCAAGTTAATACCCCTAGCCACTCATCTAGTGGAAGGTGTCCCTGTCCATGGCAGGAGCATTGGAACTGGATGGGCTTTAAGATCTCTTCCCACTCAAACCGTTCTATGATAGTGAAAGACAGTCTATGCACCTCTGAAGGACAGAACCTGTGTTACATCCAGCTTTCAGTGAAGGTCTGCACCAAGTCTGTAACATCGTATCTGCATCCCTCACATACCCCAGCAACACTACCCTCACGTGCTTTGTAAACCATAAAAAACACTTGGCTTTAGGATAGATCAATAAGCAAAGCTTTATTGAACTGATACTCAGTATTAAAAGTGTTACAGTGTGATACACAAAGCAAGGAAAAAAGCAGTGCTTTTTAAAAACAATTAATAATCATCTGCTGAATGTCTGCCCAAGCACTACAGTAACTAGTAGCTGTTTCACAGTAGTTAGTAACATTCAGGAAACTCTTGGTTCTTGTAGCAGGATCTCAGCAGAGCCATAAGGGGTGTTGAGCCGTGCCTCCTCACTGGGCATGAACAAGGGCACCTGCTCCTTGGCCGTACCCAAATCCCTTGGGGCCAAAGTTCTTCGCATAGCAACCTGTGAGAAAGAGGGACGTGGAGTATCTGAAGCTTATGGCTGATTAATTAACAACTCTGCATAGACAAGTGCCTCATCTGCTTCCCATCAGTAACCAGAACATCCCCATCAGAAGCAATGCTTAAAAACATTGTCAAGCTGCATAACTGCCACGACTGAACTCAGCCACTATGGCTGTTCAGTCCATGTAGCTCCCAACCTGCTCTGTGAAAGCAGCTCATCAGTTCTGTGCCCAGGTGTCTGTTAAGGCACATGTTATCAAACCACTGTGTGGATCCAGTTTGTACCCACAATGCCATGGAAGAAGGCATGGCAGGATGCTGGCTAGCTTGTTTTCTTACTCTGATCTATGCCCTGACCCAGGGAGAGGGCAGGGGCTGCTCTTGCACTTCTCAGTGTGCAATGTTTCGCTTGATGCAGATGTAAATTATGTCAGCAGCTTCAGTAATATTTCATTTATCAGCTCTATTCCTATGCCTTATAGAACACTTCTATCTTGACAAGAGCATGAAAAATTCTTATACCAGGAATAAATTGAGCAGCTATCCTTGTAACACATTACCTTAAACCATAAACAAATGGCATTTGTTTCTTTCCTCACCTTTACAATAAATTTCTCCCTCTTTCTCAGTTAGAGTTGTAGATTCTAGGCTTTTTCCACACTTTGCACATCGGAAGCAGTTTTTGTGCCATGGCTAGGGGAAAAATACCAAGAAAAAAAGACATTTTAAATGCAAAGAATGCCTGAGTTGGTAAAAAAATGCATTAACTGGAGGTGCCTGCATCAGTATTGCTTATAGATGACTGGTGTAACAAACACCAGTTTACTAGCAGCAGACAAGAGCATCTACATTTCTCCAAGTGACCCAAAGGCCCTCATTCCACAGAGAATCCCACTCTGGGCAGTGTTTTGGAAGGTTTGGGCTTGCTCTAATCAGTTCAGAACAGATCTTGGCTCCCTTTAGTGAGTCTGGGAGACTGACACACAGCTTTACAGGGTATTTCCAGAGAACATCCCCTTGAGCCTCCATCAGGAGCTGCACACCACAAGCCTTTTCCCTTTCCTGCAGGGAGAGAGCACTTGTGTAATCAACTTCATGTCTCTGACTCGAGATGATAGTGAAGCTTCAGCTCTGAACCCCAAGGTGAGCACTCAGCACCCTGTGTTTCAAGTGCTTTCTGTTCAATTAAGTTGATCAAATTCCAAGTACTATTCCCAATACTAAGAAATGCAATTTCCAGGTAACTCTGCCCCGCAGTTGCTTCCCTCCGGGAACCCACATGACACATCTGGCTGGCTCACTTTAAAGTCCATGCAGCAGGTACAAACAGCACACCAGTTCCTTACCTTTCCAGCTCCTATTACTTTCTCAGCTGCATACACAGAATCACCACACCTGGAGCACTTCTCTGCTCCTCCGAACTTCTGGGCAAACTTTGAAGTGTTTGGATTTGTTGTGGGTCGGTGGGGAGAGGGTGCGCTGAAAGAAAGGGGACAGTTGTGGTCTTTACTCTTGTCCTAAATGACCTGTTGCTCTTCTTAACACTAACAGAGCAGCATGCACCACACAGTACCTTTGCAGGACTGGAGCAGGAAGTTACCAGCAAGGCTGGACAATGACAACTTAGTACGGAAAAAAACTCCAACAAAACAAACCCAAAGAGAGAAAGGTCCTACTCCAAATGACAAAAAGAAGCTCTAAAAGCTAGTTTTCTGAGGAGCCTTCCCCTTTTCACTTCTCTTGAAGTGCTGAATTCTGTATCAGGACATGAATCCCTCAGACAGTAAGCTAGAAAGAGCTCTGTTAAATTCCTGTCTGGAACCTGAACTGGTCATTGAGCCTGGCTGGAGAGCATACACCATGTAAACATCAAGCACTAATGTGGGAAATTGGCAGAAAGCAAGCTGTGAGGCATACCTCAGCTTCTTTCCACACACTTTGCTTCACAGCAAGGACTTGATCAAACTAGGAATGTTTACTATTTAATAGGGGGTTTGGCTATAATTAAGCTCAAATGGTTCTTCATTTGCCAGTTAAAATTCATTCTTCTTGTAGCCCCAGATTCTCAGCTCTGAAACCATCCCTGCACCAACCTGTTGAACACTTGCATTTGCAGCTTATTCAGGAAAGCAACTTGAGACCCACAGTCTCCAGGCCACAAAGGTGCTGCAGCACCTCTCCTATTAAGACAGGCTGAGAGAGCTGGGGTTGTTCAGCCTGTAGAAGAGAAGGCTCCAGGGAGACCTTCGAGCACCTTCCAGTGCCTAAAGGGGTTACAAGAAATCTGGAGAGGGACTTTTTACAAGGGCATGATGTGACAGGACAAGGGGGAATGGCTTTAAGCTGGAAAAGGGTAGATTAAGATTGGATATTAGGAAGAAGCTCTTCCCTGTGAGGGTGGTGAGGCACTGGCACAGGTTGCCCAGAGAAGCTGTGGCTGCCCCATCTCTGGCAGTGTTCAAGGCCAGGTTGGATGGGCCTTTGAGCAACCTGGTCTAGTGGAAGGTGTTCCTGCCCATGGCAGGGGGGTTGGAACTGGATAAGCTTTAAAAGGTCCCTTCCAACCCAAACCATTCCATGATTCTCTGGTCCTGAAAAAATCCAGCCTGAAAGACTCCTCTGAAAGCGGTACTGGAGACAAGGATCACACCCTCTCCAACTTACCTCTCAGGCTTGATGCCTAGTCTCTCTCCCCTGTCCATGTTCAGCGTTCCTGCCCCCTGACCATATCCATAACCTTTTGGTCCATACTTTTTTCCATAGCAAGACTTGCAGTAAACTTCAGCATCATGAATTGCTACAGTTGTGCTGTCCAAGTTTTTCCGACAGACCACTGGAGGAAAAAGCCGAAAAGTTAAACTGCCTTAAGGGGCCATTTCCATCAGCGCATGTATTAAGCCAAAAATCAAGTGAGAAGTGGTATTATGGGTTTCCTAGTCCACAATTCTTGGGACTGCCAGAGATTAGAGGGAGCAGGTTGCTGTCTGAATGAGTGAATTATGCTTAGCTCTATAAAGGGCTCTGTTCCCTCCCACCTCTTCATGGCCATGACATTTAAAGCTTGGAAACCTGCTGTGGTTTGATGAATGAGGCTGCTCAGAAACCCAGATAGTGCAGTCAGCAGTTTCCCTTGACAGATGCCATGCAGCATAAAGCAGGAGCCTACCAGTGAAGAGAAGTCCCTGTCTTGCCCTTCTGGCCAGGGTGGGGCTGGGAAAGAAAACAACCTTCAAGGTTTTCCCTGCCTCGGTGCTGGTTTGGGGCAGAGCTGGGGCCATTTCACAGCTGTCACCGGAGGGGCTGTGCTTTTCTAGCATTCCTACATTGTCCTTCAGCACAATGCAAGTTCTCTGCTCAAGGTTACAGTAGAAGGCAGAACTGTTTCCTTCTTAAACCTTCTTTTGTATCCCAGCTGGCACACTCTTCCCGTCTGCAACAGTATTATGCTCGTGATAAAGAATTTGGGGAGAAAAAATAGAAAGAGAAAAAGCCTTGTGAATTTTTTGTTTAAAAAGAATATTAAGGTCTTCAAAACACAGGGTGACCTTTGCTTATGGCATTCATTAGCTCCAAAGTTCTTTTTATAAGATGCTAATATCCAATAAGTAAATCAACTAATGCATGTTTGTTAAACCTACAGACTTTAACCCCACCAGAACTGCGCACTAAGGAAAAGCAAATACTCAGACACACTAGAGCCATTGTTTGATTCTAAGTTCCAGGTTTCTTTTAATAGAAACTCCCATAAAAGGCTGAAAATGAGGCAGCTGAGACATCTAATCTTGTTTTCGTGACTGCTGTAGAGCTAAGGAGCGTAGGTGTGCGGAGGCTCACACGCCAGCACAGTGCGCTGGTGTTACGCTGCACACTGTAGCAAACTACTTCGAGAGAGCCAGTGGTAACTGCAGCTTATGTGAAGAGGGCTAAAACCCTGGCTGTGCCCACAGGTATTAAAACACCATCAAGTGGGACAAAACAGTATGTCCTGTTTGTAGTCAGGTATAATTCTCTGATTCAGACAGACAGGCTGTCTGTTTGCCAAGCAGGAGCCTCGGATTCACAGCGACCCTTTGTTCCCTCCATCTAAGCAGAGATCTTTTCAGCAGAGAGAGTGATTTTCAATGCCTCGCTGGGTGTGTTGGCTGGACTGGAAAATAACGCTCTGGACTCCTTTCATCTGAAATAAATCACAGGCCCCTGTGCCAATAAAGTCTAGGCTTTTGGCTGTGCTTAAGCATCAACAGCTTGGCTGTGCTCAAGCATACTGGTGTCCTGCTCCATGTGGGGCTTCAGGACAGGGCTGTGATAACTGTTCCCTCAGCTGCTGCTGGCCCCAGGACCTCCAGCAGAAATCCAGCTGAGCTGAGATCAGTGCAAACAGAGCTCTGCCATGGGGCTTTCTCCTCTGTTTAAGCAATACTTATGCCAGGTTTCTATCCTAGATCCCTTAGACTCCCAAGGAGAAGGCTGGGAAGGGGGCATACAGGAGAAAAGCACAGTGTGCTCTGGTTTTGGAGGTGCATCTCCCACACTGGACAGGTAGGATAATCTCTCTCCAGGAGACAGACTCTCCCTTTGGTACTGCCCAGCCCAGCAAGCACATGGTGAGGCAGGTGTCAAACCCAACGTATGATGGACAAAGCCATCTCTGGCCATGCAATCCCCTGTGTGTCACAGGTGCCAGCTGAGCCTGGGATGTCTCCTTCAGAGCAGCACCTTGCTGTAGTGATCCCCAGGGCAGCACTTACTGCAGAGGAAGCAGCACCGGTGGAAGCTCCTGCCATCGCACTGCACCTCCTCAGCATGGTAGACGGTGCGGCCGCAGGCGCCGCACTTGTTGCCGCCTCCCCAGTTCGGCATGGTGGCTCTGTGTACCTGGCGGCGGGGAGAAAGGGAGAGCTCTGTTAGCCACGGTGCCCTCCACTGCCCCAGTGGAAGGACAGCTGGGGTTACAGGTTGCTTCAGACCAGGCCTGTGAAGCCTGTGTACCAGAGCACAACGCCTGTGATTTCACAAGCTGTTTGAAAACATGACCTTCCACCGTGTGAGGAGTTTTTGTGGTCAGACCCACTTCTCAGCCCTTGAGATCCCAGACCAGGCTTAAAGGCTTAGGCAAGCTCTCTAGAGCTATTTGTAACAGCAGATGGACTGGCAAGAGGAACAGAGGCTGCTGCTTAACAGCAAGAAAAATAGAGACACGGTCTTCAAGAGACGTGTCCTCCTGTCCCTGCCCAGGGCTTTGGAAGTTACATAAATTGGATATGCACAAATTACAGTTTCATGCACAAGGGCTTTACTGTACCTTGTGTGAAGGCCCCCCCCCCCCCCCGCTGGATACAATTTCAGTTTCTATGCTTCATTAATGCTGAGCCTCTTGTCTGATGGAAGCAAACCAATTGTGCCAACAACGGCATTTTGTTTTACTGCAGGGCGTATCATTTGGGATGCGGTACAAGCCAAAGTTCACTTCAGCGGAAAACCACTTATTAGGGCTGCAGGGACATTCTGAACTCCTTCAAGATCAAGCCTACACTTCAAATAAGTGTAAGGGGCATAATTTCCTGGGGACTCCATTGCTATTGCATGAGCTGCACCTTTACCAGGCACATATATGAACCAAACCAAACTCAGGGAGCCACAGCTTCTTTAAAATAAAACTCCTTCACCTACATTACTCGCAATAGACACTCATAAGGCTAGGAGGGTGGGACAGGCACCATCACCCATTATGTCAAACTGCAGCCTTGGGAACAGTCTCCTACATTAAGCCAGAAGCAGCAATGGTCCCATCTCAGGCCAGTCTGCCCCCTCCCCAGCTTTCCTGCACTGCTGCCATCACCCCAGCAGTTCCCGCCCAGCTCAGCTGGGAGCTCCTTCTATTAATGCCCCAGGTCACAGCACCAAAGCAGAGCACTGCCAGCCACCTTCAGCTCCTCAGGGGCTTTCCTCCTCCCGCCACCACTACCACCAGAAGCTAATACAGTGTTTGTTGAAGGCACATCTCTCAGGCGTCACCCGCAACTTGTGACTGCTCGTCAACATGGGTTTGCTGCCCTGCAGTTCACCACCAGAGAAGCACCCCTCACAAGTCCAGAGCCCAACAGCAGCCAGAGAGAGGTTTATTGTCTCAGTGAGACTAACCCAGCAGAGCTGCTCAGGCCTCATCATGCCCACTGCTCCTTATCGCCCCATGTTTCAACAGGGTTTCCGGGTGAGGACCATGGCTTTGCCCACTGGAAGCCCAGAGGAAACTCCTGCCACCCTACCCCACCAGCAGCACCATTTCCCCCAGCCACACTGTGGTACAGGTCTGCTATCAGGGAGGAAGGGAAGGAATTTGTGAGCTTCCGACTTCTCTCAGCAGAACTCACCTTCAGTTACCCTTAGAAGCAATCCTCTGTTGGCCAAACAGTGAGAAGAGACCCCACACCATACCCACAACCTTCTCCCTTCAGTCAGCTTTGCCACTCACCCCTCTGAGCCAGAAGCAGAGGACTACCACCCTCCAGCTCTCCCCTAGCCAACAGAGAGGAACTGGAAGCACCACCATGATCTGGCCAACACAGGGAGGCAGAGAGGAGCACTTTGCTTCAAGATCCCTTTCTCTCACGGCTCCCACCAACGTGTGGGAGAGACATCGGTGCAGAGGAAGGGGGTCTGGTTGTGGCCTTGTGCTCCCCAGGAAGGGTAGAGAAGACTCACAAATCACATCTCAGAGCCTGAATCACATCTTCCCTAAGCCTGAATCAAGCAACCCATATTGATGGTGCTGCTAGAACAAGCCTCCCGCCCCAGCAGCCTGACCAGCAGCTTTAGGGATGCAGGGCAGGGTGCACGGTTCCTAAGTCAGACATGCTGCCAAGTAGCTGCTACAAGACCTTTGTCTAAGACAAGCAGACAGCCATTCATGGCATGTGGGAAAATAAGATTAGTTTATTAAGCTAAATTGGGGCATCTTAGGTACATTCCTAAGCAAAGGCTTAGGAAACTTCCTTGGAGTGGCTGAGCAGTGCCATTTGCACACTGACACTAATTACTGAGATATCCCTTTGTTTAATACTTCCACGGGATTAGCACCATTACTGCTCCATGGTTTAGCACTAATACTCTGACCGAGCTCATAAAAGTAGTTTTATGACATATCCCACTTTGCCTTTGTCATTCTTGGCACAACTGTAGAGTCTAAAAATTAAGATTCCATTTCTTGTATTCAAGTGCTTGGCTGTGCTACTACACAGCAGCTGACATCAATCACGGCAAAGAGCGTCCTTATTTAAAGGGAATATAGACTGCACAAAGCTTTGGAAAAAGGAATGCACAGGCTGGAAAAAAACTAAAAGAAAAGAAGGGGGAAAAGAAGAGATTCCTTTCCACTTTGTGTGCCTTCCAAAACACAAATCATATTTGGTACAGGAACTACTTCTGTCTTATCGTCTCGCCATCCCCACGCTCCTGATTTTTTTGTGCATTTGCATGAGCCTAAATTATTTTAATCACTTTGTTAGCAAGCAATTATTTAGTTGCCATGCACACGAGAGCTGAGGAACTGGATCAGGCTTCCAGCTTTGCCTCAGATCTCCCATGGGATACTGGGCAACACGGGGTGCAGCTCCACCCCTCCTTCCCAAAGGAGATGGAGTATTAGACGATCTGGCAAGCATTAGCAGACTCTGGTCAGCTTCCGATAAGGGCTCTGGGAATTCGTTAACTGAAAAGCACAAAGGGACTGAAGTCAATACTCCAGGTCACCTTTGCCTCTTCCACGGAACATATTTCCATTTATCATCCCATGACGGCTTGTGTGGGAAGAACAGCAGCATTTCTTCAGTTACCCAACAGTAAGGGCTATCCTGAGGCAGCGGTGCCCAGAAGGCACCTATGGTGAAACTGGCCAAGATGAAACAGCTCTGCACATAGGCCAGCATACAAGCCTGTATTCCTACCCACTGGAACCCCCCTGGATTTCTGCTGCCCAGATCTCCCCCCAGAGCTCCACAGGCAGCAGATCCACATTTCCAGCCCTGCATTACACCTTCCCCGCTCCCTCAGGACCCGCTGGCTAGTTCAGGCAGGCCTCCAGGGAGCTCTGCAGCAGCAGTTAGGCACCCAGGTGATCTCACTACCTGTGCCAACAACCCCAATTTTTGAACGCAGGTTTGTTGGCTGGTACTGTCCTCTAATAAGAGTATCCCAACTTCTACTAAGCTTGTACCCATCAAGAGGAGAGCACGCTACTCAGCGTTCTCCAAAAGGCCAGGGACAAGCCACAATGACTGCAAAGTCCTTTCCAAACCATTTGTTACAACATAAACACAAGAGGCCTAAACCAGCCCCAAGACAGGCACTGAGGAATTTCAAGCTATCCAGTTAGATTTGTTTTTCAAGGAGCCGGGGAAGCCAGGCGTGTCACAGCTCCGTTCAGCACACCGACCCAGCAGCACCGCGGAGCCACCGCTCCGTGTGCTTCCCCTTGCCCGCAGCGCTGGCCCTCACACACCCTTTTGCCGAACCCGCTCCCCGCACCCCTTCCCGGACCCAGCACCGTCCCCGGCCCCCCTCACACCCCATCTCCGGAGGGCTCCCCGCAGCCCTCACGGGTGGGGTGGGGTGGAGCGGGACAGACCCCACAGCGCAGCGGCCACCGCTCCCATCCCGCACCTCCACTGCTCTTACCTCAGGTCTCTGCTCGTCTCGACTCGACTCGCCTTAGCCGGGCACGGCCCCGCAGCCGATTAAAGAACCGGGGCGGAGCCATGGCGGGCCTGGCCCAGCCCCGCCGCGCGGTCCCAGCCCTGGCTGTGGCGGAGGCGGCCGGGCAGCAGCGCTTACACAGTCACCGTGGGGCTTGGCCCCATCCCTGTCGCAGTCAGACCCGACCGCTGCGGCACCCACCCAGGAGCGAGGGGGTGAATGGGGTGTGTGACCCTGCGCCAGCCACCCCAGCGGGCGGGAAGGCAGCAGGAGGCTCTCCAGCTGTGGCCTCAGGTAGAATCATGGATTCAGACAGGTTGGCAAAGACCTTTAAGATCGCAAGTCCAGCCTGTACCCCAGCGCTGCCAAGGCCACCACTAACCCATGTCACTGAGCCTCATCTGCGCTGTTTGTGATCGCTCCCAGGGACAGATTCCACCACTGCCTTGGGCAGCCTGTTCTAATGCCTGAGCACCCTCCTGTGAAGAAATTGTTCCTAATACCCAGTCTAAACCTCCGTTGGTGCAGCTTGAGGCAGTTACCTTTTCTCCTATTGCTTGTTACTTGGGAAAAGAGACTGACACACATCTCACTACAACCTCCTTTCAGGCAGCTGTGGAGAGAGAGAAAGTTCCCCCTGAGCCTCCTCTTCTCCAGACTAAACACCCCCAGTTCCCTCAGTTGTTCCCCATCAGACTTGTGCTACAACCTGTGTTTTTACTCATTTTTGTCATTTTTCTTGAAATCCTAAACCTCTTCGCCATCCACATGAGGTCAGTGCAGGCACCATGAAAGTGTCTCACCAGGGGTATGGGGGAAGGAAGATGTGTAGAGCTCAGAAACACCTCTCTAGATGTCAGACAGAAGGCTGGGCAGCAGTGGGTGCCTCACGAGAGGAATCAGCACCCTGCTGAATCACACTGCAGGCTGGACTGATTAGGAGTAAGTTTTCACAAAAGACCAGCAGTTAGACCTGTTCTCACCAGCCAGTTCATGCTGCAAAAAAGACTGCTTCAGCTGCTTGTTAAAAGTGGCCCCATCTCCCAAGTCCAGAGGGCTGTCACGCACTGGCTGGGTTGGTTTGGGATTATGCACAAAGTTCCCAGTGCTTATAGGGAAATGCAGGTTTATCTCATCCTCTTTACTAATCAAATACCAAATCAGCTACTCATTACATGTATG